CTTGGACTGATAAAACCCGGTGAGATTTAGTAAGTGACTACTGCAGCGAACATTTGCTAAGCAGTTACTATGTGCCCTTGTGCTTAGTCTCACACCTGGCATCTCATGCAGTCATCCTGATTATTCCCTAAAGGAGGTCCCATTTCCCCCCTTTTGGCAGATGAAGAAGCCGAGGTTCAGAGTGATGACCTCATGTTCCCAGAGCTTCAGAGCAGAGTCAGGATTAGGTCCACATCTGCTTCGCCCGATGTTTCTACCCACACAGGGGGATGCCGAGGGCCACTTTGAGTGCAGCGGGGGGTGGCTGGCTGAGAGGACAAGTTCAAAGATGAGCATTTAAAAAGGACTTGATGGTGTTACTTCCAAGGAACTTTGCTGATAGGAGCCCCTGAGAATCTAAGTATACAGGAGTCATATGTCACTACCAAATTCATTCTTTGCATATAACACTGTAGCTAAAATTGTAGTTTGGCCTCAGCTCCAAAACAGTCTCACTTTTCCTTTTATTGGTACCACGAGGGGTTAGGGCAGAGTCAGAGATGGGAGAGATCACCCACCTGTCTTTTCAGGGAGGAAGAAACAAGAAAGGCCCCAGGTTGCCTGCCACCAACCTGCTTTCCCCTAGACAAAGGGGCTGGAATTTCACCAGCCAAGGCTCCACCCCCAGTGATTCTCCAGTCACTGAGGGCTGCATTGGCTCTTTCCTTTTCTTCTCTTTTCCTTTCTTCCTTTCCTTTCCTTCTTCTTTCCCTTCCCTTTCTTCCTTCCCCCTCCCCTCCCCCTCCCCTCCCCTCCTTTCCTTCCTTCCTAAAAAAATAACCAGAGTGGACTTAAGGGGCAGTTCTACTCTTTCCTGCATCAGAGATGGCATTCCTGCTTGGGGGGGCAGTGTTCCTAAGACTTCCCTGTTTGGCATGACATCTCCTTCTCATGGGACTAGCAGTGAGTCCTCTCTGATTGTCAAACACTAAACTGGAGGGAGCAATAATAACGCCATGCATCCAGTCAACAAACATTTGTGAAATGCTTGCTACATGCCCTGGTTATTAGGTGCGGTGCTGTGAAGGATGAAAGCAGTGGGGACACTATATAATGAGTGCTAGTTGCTTTTCCTGCGTTATCTCAGTTTCTCTGAAGAGCAGCTCCCTCCTGACTTTTTCTGAAAGCAAACTCTGTGCCAGACACTGTTCCCAGCATTTTCCGTGTAGTAACTCATTTCATTCCTACCTCAAACTTATGAGGTAGGTATTGCCCCCATTTCACAGCTGGGGGCACTGAAGCCCAGAGAGGGTACTTAATTCCAAGTGCCAAGTCCCAAGGTGCTGAAGCTGGGAAGGGGCAGAGCTGGGAACTGAATCTGCTGCGCCCTACTCATCCCATGTGGGGTCATGGCCCTAAAGTGTGTTTGGAAGCAGACCTTTTACAGAGACAGAAAGGCAATAGAGAATCTAATCTAATATCCCTGTTTACCAACTGTGCCTTGGAGAGGGAAGGCGACCTACCTGAAGTCACAGCCCCTCAGAGGCACAGCTGGGACCAAAGCCAGGTTTGCCATCTCCCAGGCGGATGGTCTTCCTCTCCCAATAAAGCTGCTGCAATGATCAGCCCCGTGCCCAACCCCTTCCTTCCAGGCCACACCATAGCCAAGGCTCAGGCCCAATGACTTGGCAAGCTTCATGGGCATTTGGGGTGCTGCCAAGGGGCACCTTGAACCCTGCTGGCTGCTGATGCTCTGCAAGGAGCCAAGTGTTAGAGAGAGTGAGAAATGCATGTTCTGCTTGAGCTCATCCTCACTGGCCCTGGGCAAGTGTCCTGCTTTCCCACAAATCTATACCTTCCTTGAGAACTGGACCGATCAGCAACATGCCCTTCCTGGGGGCTGGCCATGGCAAATGGGACAGCTTGGCCAGGCTGTCAGCACCCTTTCCTACTTTACTGTGGTGGTGGCAGCCGAGCCAGTTGTTCCCACACCCCATGGCAGCCACGGCCCCACTCTGGGCTCACTCACTTGCCCTCAGTAGTCCTCCTGCCAATGCTCCCCTCAAAAACCTGGCTTGTTAAAGAAACGATTTGGAAATGGCCCATGTGCGCACCAATACAGGAATGCAAAGAACACTCACTCACAGGGAACACACAGATGCTGAAAATCTCCCTCTGAAAGCTCAGGAATAACATGGGATGGACCTGGGCTGTGACACAGTGAGTGAGCACGCCCGCTCAGTGGCCACAGCTGCGCCCAAACCTGCACTTGAACAAGGGTCTGCAGGGGTTATTTTTAAAATGGTAACATAGCTGTGTTAGGAGAGTGAGGTTGTAATAATATTCTCCTGTGGTTTTCAAACTTTGTATAATGCAGCAAGATTGCTTTTATAATAATAACAATAAAACTAGCTCCCTCTTCAACTGTCCTTGAGTTACCCACCCTTCACACTCACCAGAAACCACATTTTTTTGGAGCTACACTGGGGTCTCCCTGTCGGGAGCTGCAGCTGGTGGTTAGGTGACTCAGAGGTGCTCCATGGCCCTGCTCCTGAGGGCAGAGACAATATTTCCCCTGTCTCCTCCTTCACACGCACACATCATCTCTCCCTCATTCGCGCACACAACTGCCCTCTCATGCCCACACACACACTTCTCTCACACACACTCGTACACATACCCACTGTTCCCATACCCTCAGGTGCTCTCGCCCTGACACTCTCCCCCAGTTCTCTTTGACCAGTGCAGTGCTGGGCCTACAAGAAGGGCCCCAGCGTGGATTTTTCCCCCAACACTGGTTGACTTGGTGCAGACAGAGCTGGGCTTTGGATTAACTCCCCTAGATTCCTACTTTCAATACTGATGACACTGCCTGAGCTCTCATCTGGCAGGGCTTCAGTAGCTTATGATATTTCTGATAAAAGCCAACAAAACACAAACTTAGGGCCACACTGCCTGGGTTTGCATTCTGGCTCCATCACTCACTGGCTGTGTGACCTTGACCAAGTTACTTAGCCTTTCTGTGCATCAGTAATCATTCCTACTTCCTAGGGCTGCTGAGGATTAAATGACTTAATCTTCGCAGAGCACGTAGAACAATGCCCAGCAATGTGTACACCGCACATAAGTAAAAGGAAAAAGTGATTATTTAATTGAAACCAGCATTAGCTGCCCATTCACTCACTGCCTTTCACTCATTTGTAACTTACTGAGCAGGTACTGAGTTCCTTACCATCACCTCACCACCTAGTGGGAAGACACACAGGCAACACACAGGCAACAACAGAAAAAAAATTTTTTTCTTTTAGGAAAATGTGCTAATTCTAAGTAGAGACTTACACACAATTCTAAGAAAGGCCAAAGAAAGAACATTTGCCTGCTATCAAGTAAACTTAAAAAGGGATAAAAATAACAGCAACAAAAAACCATACCGTTCAATCCTTTGAATCCATTTAAAACATCGAATTCGAATTCGGTCTGATTTGTGAATTTAGACCAAGGCTCCGCACACACTAACTTTCTGGAAAATATTCCCGTTCAATGCCATCTCTTCAACCTCTCTGGGTGTTTTCCTTCCTACCTCCGTCTCCAGTCTCCTTGATGACCCAGGAAACAATCTGAGTTCGCCCCCTGTCCTCAGTTAACGGGCGGTGAAAAGGCTTTGGGTCCCATCGAACCAACACTCGGGCATTTTTTAAAAAACTTGTAACTCTTCGGGGAGAAGGAGGCGGGCGCTGGAGAAGCCCCGGCAACTCACAACCTCTCAACGGATGCACCGGCAGCAGCTGAGTTTTAAAATCTGGGTGGTTTCACGCGAACCACTTTTGTGAGTCGGTCGTGTGTGTGTACAACGGGCTTTAACGACTAATGGAAGAGGGGATTAAGTCCGTCTCTCCCCGCCCCTCCATTCCTGTGAAAGCCATCGCTTTCTAAGGCACTGAACCCGGTCAAGCTGGCTCAGGTGGTCGACCCTGCGGAGTCCGGATCCTCCGGCGAGAGCCGTGCGGAGCTTCCCCGCGGCGGCGGCGCCGAGGCCCGCCCGCCCGCCCGCCTCGCCCTCCGGCTGCCCCTTCCGCGCCCGCGCCCGCGCCCGCGCCCTGCAGTCGGACCGCTCCGGACCGCGCCGGGCGGTGGGAAGTGGCGGCTGTCGGCGGCCGCGGGCCGGACCGTGGACCCCAGCCCCTCCCCGGCGAACACCGCCTGCTGGCCGCGCCTGCTGGCCGCGCCCCGCCGCCCCCGAACTTCAGCCCGCAGGCGCTGGACGAGCGGTCTGGCGACTTCCCTAAACTCCCAGCGCCGCAGTCGCGTCGCCAGACCCGAGGTGGGAGCAAGCCGGCGCGAGCCGCCGCGCAGCGGCGGGACTCCGGGTGGGAGGGCGCGGAGCGCGAGCGCTGCGCTCCCGCCGGCGGGCGGCGGCGGCGGCGGCGGCGGCGGAGCGGCACCCACAGCCGGATGCGCGGTCTCCGCCCGGCGACTGTGATATTGATCCACGGCTCGCGGGCGCGGGGGACAGTTATTGCCCCGGACTTGCAGCTTTCCGCGGAGGGGAAGGGGCAGGAAGGCGCTCGCAGAGAGGGGCGGGGGCGTGCGGACCCGGGGAGCTGGTGAGAGGGCGCCGGGGCGGGTGGGGAGCCCACCCCCAAAGCCTCCAGTCCCGGCGCTGGGGTCTACGCGGGCCGGGCAGGGGGCGGAACCGGACATGGACCCGCGAAGCCTAAAGCGGTTCTCCGCACAGAGCTGGTAACGCGGGTGGGCGGACCCCTCCTCCGACAACGTCCCGGCAGCTTCGCCACCACGATTTCTTTTTTCACCTGCGTTCCGCCCCCACCCACCCAATGCCCGCTCCAAAGGTCCGGCGAGAAGGGTTTGGGCAGCCCCTCAAACCCGGGCCTCGCCCGAAGCTGTGCTCAGCTCTGCCCAGGGACCCCCCCCCCCCCACCGCGGCCAGTCCGCCCACGTCCCGCGCGGGCCCGAGGCTGCGGGCGGCCGCAGCACTCGAGGGCTGACCGGCTCGCTCGTACCTTGACTAGCCGGAGCTGCGGGGGCCGTCCCATCCTCCGGCTCGCGCGGTCACCGTCCTGGAAGCCTGGGTCCCTCGGACATCCCAGAGGACCGGGCGGCGGGTGCGGGCTCCGGTACGCGGGATGAGCGGCCGCGCTCCTCGGTCGCTGCCTGGCCCCGCGGGCTCTCGCTCGCCCCTCCCTAGGGAAGCCCGACCGCCCTTTCCCGACTCAGCCCGGCCGGCAACCACCTCTTGCCCGCGAGGAGCCCGGCTTGCCTGCGCCGCCTACCCCTCGGTCCGCGCCGCGCTCGCCTCGGCTCCCCGCCCCCTCGCCGCGGCGTCCCCTCCCCTCTCCAGCCTTTCCCTCCTCGCCACTTCAGTCCCTCCTCTCCGCGTCGCCCCTCCGCTCCCTCCTCCACCCCGCCTCCTCGTCCCCTCCCCTTGCCAGGAACCGCTCCCCGTGCCCTCGCCGCGCTGACCCCCTTTCCCTGCGCCCGGGTTTGCGGCAGTCGGCGGGACGCGCTGGCAGCGGTGGCGTCCGCCGCAGTCCAGGGAGAAGCCGGGGATGGGGGCGGGGGACAGCAGAGGAGGCGCCTTCCACCTCCCGCCCGGCTTGCGTCGGGGCCTGGGCAGTCCAGGGAGTCTGAGGGAGACCCGAGGGACTCTGGTGAATCTAAGAGAGCGAGGCTATCGGAGGCCCCGACTGAGCAGAGCAGCCGCGGAAAGCCAGTGAAGAAACGGGAACTGCGTTTGGGCAGTTCCCGCCCTGCGGCGTTCCCGGACAAGGTTGTCGCCAGTCCGCGCTTCATTCAGCAGGGGCAGGGGCTTCCGGCCCGACCCCCAGTGCCTTTGGCTCTAACACGCCAGGTGCAGGCAAAGACGCGAAAACTCTGTGGGGTGAACCCTTCTCATTTATTCATTCCCTTTAATTCATTTCCTTATTGCTCGTTTATCCATTCATTCATTCTACAAACTCAGCGCCTGCCCTGCCCAGGGGCTGAACCTGGGAACCCCAAGAGATGGGGAGGCGGCGGTGCTCTGCAAGACGAGCTGGCATCTGGACGCAGCGGAGGGGAAAGCAGACGCTCATTGCATTACAGCCGAGGGAAAGCTGCTAAGAATCCGGAGGGCAGGGCGCGGAGGAGGCCACAGCGCCCCCTCTCGGCCAAGCCCTCAGGGTAGGGTCAGCCTCCCCGCCAGACCTCCGGGTTTTCGTCCGCTGGTCACCCTAGACCCCCAGTGCACCCCCAACTCTGGAGAACAGCTCCTGCCTCCTCCAGCCCCTTAAGCTTTCCCCTCCAACGCCTCCAGTTGGGCAGAACTTCTGACTTCTCTCCGCAGCCCCACTCTGAACCTAACTGCCCTGGATTCTGCGCCCTGCCAGTGCCCACCTCCCTCTTCCCTTCAGCTCACTTTTCAGCGCATGCTGCAGGAGCCAGCGTATTCATGGATCTGAATGACTCTTTATTTGGAAAGGGAGTTATTGTTGCAGAGGTCGTTTGACCCAATATGCAAATTACTCAGGGAAACTGAGGCCTACAGGCAGGTGGCAACCTGTCCAAAGTCACAGAGCTGGTAAGCTTAGTCCTCGGTCCCCTGAATCCCAGCTCAAAGTGCCTGTGCGGGTGGGCCCTGATGACGTTTGGGGCTCTGAAGTGGGGAGGGACGTTGCTCTGGAAGCCATCTGGTCACACTGGCTTAGCCACACAGGGTGGCACTTGCTAGACGAAGCACCAGTCTGGAGCCTTGCAAAACCCCCATTTGGTAAGTGCTCCAGAGCTGGTCTTGTTGAATTTGGCCCTGACTCACCCCAACCAACCCCAGAAGAGGTGGGTGCTCCAACCAAATTGCCATTTTATTGTTCTTAAGAAAATTGACAGGGTATTGTAGTGCAGTGCGGGGCTTCGGTCTGAGTCTTGGCTCTTCTACTCACAAGCTGTATGAAACTGGGAAATTACTTAACAGTGCCTCAATGTTCTCATCTGTAAAACGGGGGTAGGAATACCTACCTCATAGGTAGGTTTAAATGAATTATTATGTTTAAATGGCTTAGAATGATGCCTGGTCCATAACAAGGGTTTAAAGAAGATTAGCTATAGTCACCATCGCTTTCATCATCATTGAGGGGACCAGTTGCTCAAAGGGATGGGCAGCATGGTCCCTCTCTCTAGACAATTCTTTGTGGAAAGCAGAATTCTTGATGAGAAGGTCTCAGCAGCAGGGGATTGTGGAATCAGAGAGAAAGCTGGCGGAGCCTCGGGGAGGTTTGCCCAGATCCTGCAGCGGCATGGCTCCCCAGCCCTGCCTCAGGGCCTTGGAGCCGACTCTCTCAGGACCAGACAGCTCCGGATTGCCAGATTCCCTGTTTCTCTTGCTTAATAAACACCATCACAGTTTTGCCTTTCTGAGCCCCCGATCCTCCCCTTGACTTGATCTTTAAATATGCTAATGCCATCGATCAGGCCGTAATCAAGTCTTGCTCTTCCTGATTTTCAGGTCTGGGATTTGGACTTTCTCTTTCTATAGAGGCAGCTATGGATGGCACATTTTGTCCCCCCTCTTCCCCCTGAGCAAAGAGGAAGAAGGCTACTGTATCACTTCATCACTTATTTATGGTTTTGGCCTTGACTGCCTCAGGGGGGTTATGAGAGCTTTGTGTTTAACACCCCTTCTGCAAAAGGATTCCATACTGTCTTTCATTTGTCCTAAACTGCCTCCTTCCACTCTCAAGATTCTGTCTCTTGTAGGCTCAGATGCCACTGCCAGGGCCTTCCATGCTCAGCCTCCTCCACCCCAGTCCCAGCCTCTCTCGACTGATGGCTCAGGGTGGTCTCCTCAGGCAGTTTCTCCACTCCCTCGTCAGGACAGCCTTCTGCTCCATTCCAGCCTCCTCTTCCCAGCCTGACCCTTCCCACACTCTCTTCCAACCCTTCTCTGGCCTTTTCCTCTTCTTGTCTAGGCCCAGACCACTGCCAGCTTTCATTCATTTAACCTGCCTCATGTGGAAGAAAGGGAAAATATGAGGAATCCCAAAAGGAATAAAAGACAATTCTATGTCCTTCCAGATGTGATAAGAAGTAGTGATGGGTGGGACCCAGCAAGAGCAAGGCAGGGCTGAGTCCGCAGGATACATTGGCTTTAACCCTGAGTGTCCCAGGAGGTCCATGGTCTGGAACCATACTTCTTAAGCTACTTGTGCCAAAGAAGTGGTTCTTGATTTTTAAATTTCCAACCTGTTGCAGAATGATACGATTGCAAAATACAGTGGGAATGCATTATTAGAAAAATGAAATAAAATAAAGATATACAAAGTAGAAGTTCAATTTTTAAAGCTTTTAGATCCAGTGGACATCAAACACTGTCGAATTGCTTCAGAATTTCTAAATGCTCACTCCCAGTTTCTGCACTTACGTTGTCATGAACTCGCAGCAGATAGTTTGCAGACAGATCATGCCTGGAGCAGCACAGGTCTAAAACACTTCTGAAGTATGAGGTCAGGAAAATGGCCTCCTGGAGGGAGTGGCTTACAAAACCACATGAACATCAGGGCAGGTGGTGTTAATCCCTCCATTCATCTGCGCCTGCACTCAACAAACATTTAATGAGCAGCAACTATGTCAGTCACTGTTGGACGCTAAGGTTAATAAAGAGAAATATAACAGGACTCTAGCCCTCAAGATGTTCACAGGCTGGAAGGGGAGACAGTCACTCTGAAGAATAATTAAAATCCAGTACAATTAGGTCAATAATAGACTAGGTATGGAGGCAGGAATATTCATTCTGCCCAGGGTCAACAGAAAAGATTCTAGATTTTGTGCTGCCGTTTGGAGGCTGATCATCACTCCATATGGCCAGCTGGCACTCTATAAATACAAAGTTTGTGTCAAGTGCTTAGCACAGTGCTTGGCACGTCCACAGTGTTAGCTGTTTTTATTATTGAACCTCATACATTATCATCATCATCATCATCATCCATATAGATCTGCCAAGCACTGTGCTTCAGCTTGGGGTTGAGGGGTTCTAGGCAGCTCAGTTGGGGGAAGAAGGCAAACTGATCTTAATCTACCCCCTTTGTCAGAGGGAAGATCTTCCAGGGGAGGTGAGTTGGCATTTGGGTATTGAAGGAAGTGGGTGTGAACAGGCGGAAAAAGAGGGAGACCTTCCAGGCAGGAGGGTCCCTGAGAGACACACAGCCAGAGGAACAGGTGTGGGCAGGGGAGGAGACTGGTGTGATGGGGACAAGTGATGGTGCTGCAGTGACGGGGTGGGGCTCGGCAGAGCTGGGGGCAGACGACCCTGGGCTGAGGTTCTCCTTGGGTTAAGGGGCTCTAAATTTTCATTCCCTCATTTAGAACAACAGGTAATAACAATACAATTAGGATTTGTATGACAGCTGGCACTCTGCAAATCTCTTTCACCAACACTTTCTCATGTAATCCTTCTAACGACTGTGTAGGAGGTATTAATAACTTCGCTTTACAGATGAGAAAGCAAGCTCAGAGGTCGACCCCTTGCTCAGGGTTACACGGGCGGCTTTGGCACGGGAAGGATTCCAACCTGGCGTCCAGCTCCTGCTCCGGGGATTTTCCCGTGCACCATGGAGAGGTGAGCTGAGCCTAGACACCCTAGGGAACTGGGATACCCCCCAGGAGGCCTGACCCCAGGAAAATGGTGTTCTAGGACCAGTCTCACCCTTGTTCTTTTCCCAGTGGATAGACAAAGGGAGGAGCAGAGACAAGCCACACAACAGTTTGGTAGTGACAGCAGGCCGGGGTGGGCCACTCAGCCACAGACAGCTCCTCAGGTGACCTAGCAGCTTCTCCTTCTCTCAAGTCTGACTCTGCATCGATAGAGGGCAAGTGTGCTTGCTCTGGGTGCAATTACCATATTTTTGCATTTATTAAGCATGGCTGAGAGGGACATTGAAGGTGTTTTTTAGAAAATTTGTTTTTTTAGAAAATTTGAAAGGTGCACTGAAGTAAGAAAGGTTGACACCCTGGGAACATCCTGGAATTGACAGCGGATCAGAGGTGTCAGCCAGAAATTCGGAGTGAAATGCAGGGAGCAACATACTCATATGTCCTTGCAGAGAAATAGCATCCTTCTAGCCTAGGCCAGTGGTTCTCAACCTGGGGTGCTCCTGTCCCCCAAGGAACATGCAGCAATGCCTAGAGGCATTCTTGGTTGCAACAACAGGGAAGGGGAGAGCCACTGGCATTTAGTAGACAGAGGTTAGG